CTCTGCACAACACCTCGACTCTGTACAACACTTTGACTCTGTACAACACCTCGACTGTGTACAACACATCGACTCTGCACAACACCTCGACTCTGTACAACACTTTGACTCTGTACAACACCTCAACTGTGTACAACACATCGACTCTGCACAACACCTCGACTCTGTACAACACTTTGACTCTGTACAACACCTCAACTGTGTACAACACATCGACTCTGCACAACACCTCGACTCTGTACAACACCTCAACTCTGTACAACACTTCGACTCTGTACAACACCTGACTTTGTACAAGATCCCGACTGTAGTACACCCCGACTCTTGTAGTGCACAGTGACTCTGTATAACACCTCGACTGTGTACAACTACCTGACTCTGTAGTACACCCCAACTTTGTACAACACCCTGACTCTGAACAACACCCCGTGTCATCCTGCACTGTGTGTTGATGACTGGACTACTGCTTCACTGTCCCATCTTTAGGCTGCCATCAACACCAGCAGACAACAGAGGGKAGAAGACCATTCCTGGCAATGGTGTAGTGCACAAGGAATGCTGGAGATTTGCGCTAGCTTGCCTGTAATAGTGAATGGAAAAGCAGGTTAAAAGGATGGTARATGGATGGATAGATTCTTAGCTTGAACATTAAGCTAAGAATATCTGAAGWGACATCATCTAAATCATCTTTTTCAAAGTAAAAATTGTTCTTTTACAGGCAGATTTGTCTCAATAATCTTCTGTAATTCTTAAAAATGCTATTTTAATTTGTGCCATGATGACTCTTCCATGTTTTAAGCTAAACAGTTTTGACCCCTGGGGCCTCTCAGGTTTGCAGCTAAGCCTCAACAGAAGGCACAATAATTAATGCACATTAGAAGGCCCAATAATCTGTGTTGGAGTATGTAGGGCTGGAATTCTTCAGCTAAACGCCCAGTCAGCCACCTGCTACCCATGAGCCCAGAGTTAAGTAAGTGCACAACAAACCGAGTTGCAGAGTCTCGGCTTCCCTGCCAGCCAATTGGAAAAGACTTTTATCCCGGAAGAGCTAATCTTCCACTGAGCTGAGGATTCTCTACTGAGATTGTTGTTGTTGCTACTCTCGCTTGTTGCTGACCAAAAAAACAGCGTGGCTGCTCACYGACTGGGACTTCAGAGACCCAGGGTTGAGGTGAAATGACCCTCCGCCGTTCGCCMTCTTCCACCTGCGCAGGTGAGTGCCACACAAACCTACAGGAAGCTTTTATTTTCCCTGTCCTTCATGTGAGCTGTCCTGTCTGTCTCTTCCTGTGTCTTCACCCAACAAAGAACCGGACCACTGTAGAGTCTCATTGTCCCTTCACTGTTCCCCTCAAAGAGTGTGTGGACGTGTGGGTGTGTGTCAGCAGACCGTGTGGGGTGATCACCTCTTTACGGACCCAGGGTATACTGTTGCATGGGACTTTATTACAATTCTGTATACAGACCCCAACGTGCCGTCTCCTTTTTCAGCTTTTCACTTTGTGGAAATATTTGACCATATTTTAGAAGAATCAACATGGATTCTAGACATCTACTCTTAGATAAGGTATGCTCCACTATAAAAACAAAATAAAATAAAAACTACAACAAAAAACATTCAGATTAAAAGTAAAATGTTTTCAATTTCCTGAAACATTCTGATAATACTGAACCAACACGCTATTAGAAATTTTCCTGAAATTCAGAGTTATTTAGGAAGGGAATTGAGTTTGCACCTAYATAAGTGGAACATTTCTTGCTTCAAATATCAGTTTTAATTTCTGAAAAGAGAGAATTTCCTTTGAAACCAGCAACACCCACATCCCTATCCTCCTTCCTAAAAGCTTAATCCTTTTATAATGTCTACATATAATTCCAGATAACTGRATAATAATATGATCAGGCTTGGAGCTGTTGCTCATTGTTTTCTTCTGCAATGACGGCTACTGTAAATTATAGAGGAATTWATTAAATTTTCTTGTTAGCAACAGATACAGACACTTAGAGAAACATATTTACCACCCAGAGGGTAGCAGACCACCTGTAGGAATGTAAATGATTTGATTTGCAAGGAGCTGGAGCAACTAGAATAGGTAGTTGCCGGAGCATTTCAGTCAGTCGAAACAGTTAGTGAAGTCAACAGACACAGAGGACAAATCACACCAAAGGATGACACGTGTAGACATGACAAACTGCATTACAGTGTGGGGAGCCATTCATTATGACTTTCAACCTCTTGTTGTGAGTAAAGTATGACAAGTGGAATGTGACAATTTTAAGTCTAACCAGGCRAAGGAGAAGTCTAACTGTCAAAGCGTCAGAAATTTTAAACGGAATTGATGGACTGTGTTTATTTTATCACTTCAGTAGAAAAAAGAACTTAATATTAGTTTCTTAATTTTTTTATCATCAGTGATTTTTTTTAAGTAAGAGAAAATAAAAAAGAGGGAAAAACAAAGAGAAAAGTAATTATAAAGATTGAAATAGAAATTAGAAGTATATTACCGGTAAATATACACCAAGAAAACACAGGACCACACACCCAACATCTGTCCGCTCACCTAAAAATATATGGATAAATACATGGATGGCATACATAAATATATACACATACCTATACATATTTAAAGATATACATACATACATGCCTACATTCATACATACTGTAGATATATACACACAGACATACATTCCCACCACGTGACCTGTCAGAACCCCCCTGATCAGAACACCTGTTTGTGAGCAGTTGTGAACATGYGTGTATATACAAGATTTCTCCAATGGAATATTTAATAGTGACTGTGGAGGACCGAAGACCCAACCCCTAAGACATGAGGCAGACATAGGGAAGACCAGAGCCCAAGGGCCCGAGAGGGATCCCGAGCGCAGAGCCCCAAGGGGGTGTCCAGATGGAGACTGTGTTAAAGACCTGTAGCAGGGTAATGGGAAGAATGAAGTAAAGATGAAGCAACTATTAGCAGGAGCATGACAGCAAAAAAAACCTATATATATAATTTATTTATTTGTTTGTTTGTTTGGGTGTCCCAATACCAGTTTTTGTCAAACCAAGTAAAAGTACAAGTACATCACCAGGCCATAAGGAACACGTACTGTAAATATCTCATTGTCCCTTCACTGTTCCCCTCAAAGAGTGTGTGGACGTGTGGGTGTGTGTCAGCAGACCGTGTGGGTCTGCTGACACAATTTCACACAATTTCAGTAAAGCAGTGGTTCCCAAACTTTTCAGCTTTTGACCCACAAAATAAAAGCAGCAGAGACCTGTTCCCCCAGCTGTTGTCAGTTGATAAACAATGTTTTTACGTCAAATAAACAAGATCATTGTAACATTATTTATTACATTATTTTTGTCCATTTTAAGTACACTAATTTTATTATTTTGTAACAACAAAGGCAAAAATGTTGTTAATTGTCATTTTTTGTGTAATTCTGAAAATATTTTTCAGGACCCCACCTTGATGTTTCAGGACCCTACTGTGGGTCCCGACCCCAACTTTGGGAACACTGCTGTAAACAACCATGAAGCAAAAGCACAAAACTAACCAAAATGTGACCCACATTCTAAACCACTCAAAGCAGGCACCCCTTGYAGTRCACTGTTGGAAAACCATTCCAGGTGAATACAGAACCTCATGAAACTGATTGAGAGAAYGGCAAGAGCTCACACAGCTGTGATAAAAGGAAAATGTGCYCACTTTGAACAAGGTCACTACGTGACTCCTCATGTGTTCCTTCATAATCTGGATGACCCCAATACCACAATGTAGCAAATAAAWAAWTAAAKAAAGAAAAATAAAGAAAAAACATGACATTGAAGGAGAAAGTGTGTCCAAACTTTTGATAAGTATTAGWAGTAAATGTTACAATAGTCTCCTTGGGCAGGTGATCTGTGTCCTGTCCTTCCTCAGTCAGAGACAGCACCATGCAGTCTTTCAACAAGATGACACTGTCCACACAGATTGTCTGCGTCACGTGGATATTGTCAACAAGTCAGCCAGAATTCTTTGGACTTTAACAGTTTTTACTAAAAGAACAATTTCAGCTTGCACAATGGCAGACTGTGTGAAACACACTGAAAAGAGCTAACTGAGAAAGTCATCTATAATTGCCTGGCTGTAACATGTAGTATTTGAAGACAGTGGACAAGATTTGATACTGGAGACTTTAAGGTTTCAGATTGTTAATTCTAAGTAAAAACTTTTCAAACGTTAAATAAGATATTAATTTTACTTACCTTTTTATTTAACCAGGCAAATCCCACTGAGATCATGGACCTGTTTTGCCAGGGAGGCCTAAAGGCAATTTAACTTGCATGTTTTTAGACTGTGGGAGGAATCTGGAGTACCCAGAGAAAACCCATGCAAACACAAGGAGAACATGCAAACTCCACACTGAAAGACCCCAGTTCTGAACCGAGGATCTAACCAGGACGTTCTTGCTGTGAGGGGATCGTACTAACCACTAAGCCCAAAAAGCTTTAAAGGCTCACCAACAAAAAAATGTGATTTTAGTGTTTTTTTAGCCCAACACAATGCTCCTAAAACAGCTGTCTCGTGAAGATGCCACTGGAACGTTTCCGCCTTCTCCCTCATTAGTGCTTAATAACATGAAGCTAAATAAGACAGGCTTCTGGCACAAGTTTCCATACAATCAGCGAGCCGAGGCTGAGACAGCATGTGATAAAAGCATCAGCATTAAGTCTTTGTGCCGTGCTCCGCCGGTGCTGCCCATTATCTGCTCTCTGAAGATGCCCTTTTGCCTCTGCTATTAGAAAACGAGTGCGAAAATAGAATGTTGAGAAACAGAGGCTGGGTGGGATTCCAAAAGCCTCTGATTTGAAGAAAACCAAGGAAAAAGCTTTTTATGTCAAGTCGCGCTAACACTAAACAGAAAACAACTTATTAAGGGGGCAAATGTATAAACACTGAAGCACCGTTGTTACTTTTCGGTTATGTTTTGATCACAGTAGAAACATGTAAAATTTAATAGGGTCAAAGAGTTGCCAGGAGCCAAGGCTCAACCACCAGGTGCTTGTTGTCGAGCTCCACTCKAGGCCTGGCTCCTGGGGGTGCACTGGTTTTAATTTACCAGGCGAGTTATCCTGATCCATGTGTTGTGTATCCACTGAGTACTTTTTTTGTCACCCTTTTMAAATGTCTTTAAAATTATAGTTATCCACAAATATTTATAATTTTAATTCTATGATTAGGTA